GCAAGTAAAAGAGCACCACAATTGGTGAAGTTGGTAGGATACCGACATTAGCCCAAGTGCCACAGTGGGCAAAAAGAAGTGAAAAAAATGATTGTATCTTTGTTATCTTTATATTTCTTTGACTAGAAAGCATTAGTTTGCAAATAGAGGGTGAACAATAAATGTATTCTTAAAATTGCTTTGAATTAAATAGGAAATTAGAGGGACCATACATCTAATGTATTCTTTAATTGATGTATAATTTATATATAGAAAAATTCATATCTCATAACCGGAAAGATTGATGAATTATTACAGTGAACACACTTAGGTAACCGCAGCATAAGTCCAGAAAGTCCTTTTTGTGTCTTCTAATCGATAACTCCTCTTTCCTCTCCAAAGGTACCCACTGTCCTGCCTCCAAACATAGATTAATTTTGCCTGATTTTGAACTTTATATAAGTGAAGTAATTTAATATGCATTTTTTTTGTGTCTGTCTTCTTTCATGCACCCCATTTTCTCTTTTATGATTTTCAAATCATCTCCTCTCTTCACCCTTTTCACTCTGCCCTCCACTGAGAATTTATACATTTACCCTTAAAAAGTATCTTTGTTTTGACAACCAAAAAAGCTGANAAAATGGCAAAAACTTTTGTCCCAATTTTATGCTCATTTCTTTTGTAAAAAGAAATTCTTATAAGGGGTCTTTACAGAATGTCCCCAAATCACGTGGCAGTTATATTCTTGAGTATTTTACAGAACACAAACTAGATGTGAACTCAATGTAATTATGCATGTGATAGCCACAAAGTTTTTGTCATAGATACTATGATTATTTCTTCTTTGTAAAGGGAATAAGTAAAATTTAAATTGTTTTATGGTTTAATTTAAAAGTATGAAACCACCATCCTTATCTAGTTCCAATTTTTTTTTTTTTTTCCTGACCGGTAAGGGGATTGCAACCCTTGGCAAGGTGTGGTCTGCATCACGCTCAGCCATTGAGCGCACCGGCCATCCCTATGTAGGATCCGAACCTGTGGCCTTGGCGCTACCAGTGCCGCACTCTCCGGAGTGAGCCACAGAGCCGGCCCACCATGCCTGCTTTTTAATAACATAAGCCAATACATTTTAATAAACCTTCCTCCCAATCTCTGTCTGTGGAAGACTTAAAAAAGTGTTACTTACCTAGAGTACACTAAGAAAAACATAAGTAGTATTCCATTAAAGACTATGACACAATTTATTTATTCATTTATTCATTGATGGATATGTGGGTTCTTCAAGTTTTTGTCTACTACATATAAAGTTTCTATAAACATTTCAAACATTCATATGTAATCCTTTACTTGGACACATCTAACAGTGAAAGAGAATTCCAGGTTCACTTCCTCCTCGGCGTGTGGAATAGCCAGTCTCTAGCCATTCTAATAGTTGTGTAGTGATATTCATTATGGTTTTAATTTTTATTTCACTAATCACTAATGATGCTGGACATATTTTACATGTGTGTATTTGCCACTTGCATATCTTCTTTGTTAATCTTTTGCCCATTTTTAAAATTGAGTTTTAAGTTTTCTTACTATTGAGTTGTGAGAGTTCTTGCTATATTCTTAGCATAAGTTCGCATATTTGCAAAATTTCCTCTGTAAAAAAGAGAAACATTGATTAGCCAAGTGGCTATTAATTTCTCTAATTTGTGCATGCATTTATACAAGTTGTTTTGATCATTCACTAAGTTATCAATGTTGAAAAGGAAAAATGGCAAAAACTTTTGTCCCAATTTTATGCTCATTTCTTTTGTAAAAAGAAATTCTTAAAAGGGGTCTTTACAGAATGTCCCCAAATCATGTGGCAGTTATATTCTTGAGTATTTTACAGAACACAAACTAGATGTGAATTCAATGTAATATTGCATGTGATAGCCACAAAGTTTTTGTCATAGATACTATGATTATTTCTTCTTTGTAAAGGGAATAAGTAAAATTTAAATTGCAAAAGAAAATATATGTTTTATGGTTTAATTTAAAAGTATGAAACCACCATCCTTATCTAGTTCCAATTTTTTTCTTTTTTTTTTTTTTCTGACCGGTAAGGGGATTGCAACCCTTGGCAAGGTGTGGTCTGCATCACGCTCAGCCATTGAGCGCACCGGCCATCCCTATATAGGATCCGAACCTGTGGCCTTGGTGCTACCAGCGCCACACTCTCTGGAGTGAGCCACGGGGACGGCCCATCATGCCTGCTTTTTAATAACATAAGCCAATACATTTTAATAAACCTTCCTCCCAATCTCTGTCTGTGGAAGACTTAAAAAAGTGTTACTTACCTAGAGTACACTAAGAAAAACATAAGTAGTATTCCATTAAAGACTATGACACAATTTATTTATTCATTTATTCATTGATGGATATGTGGGTTCTTCAAGTTTTTGTCTACTACATATAAAGTTTCTATAAACATTTCAAACATTCATATGTAATCCTTTACTTGGACACATCTAACAGTGAAAGAGAATTCCAGGTTCACTTCCTCCTCGGCGTGTGGAATAGCCAGTCTCTAGCCATTCTAATAGTTGTGTAGTGATATTCATTATGGTTTTAATTTTTATTTCACTAATCACTAATGATGCTGGACATATTTTACATGTGTGTATTTGCCACTTGCATATCTTCTTTGTTAATCTTTTGCCCATTTTTAAAATTGAGTTTTAAGTTTTCTTACTATTGAGTTGTGAGAGTTCTTGCTATATTCTTAGCATAAGTTCTTTATTTGATATGTGTTTTGCAAACTTTCTTCTAGTCTGTGGTTTGTCGTTTCATTCTCTTAACTGTCTTGAATAGCAGTAATTTTTAATTTTAATGGTATCAACTTTATCAACTTGTTCTTTTATGGATCATGCTTTTGGGATGGTATTTAAATAATATTTTGCTATCTAAAGGTCACAAGGTTTTCATTTATGTTTTTCTTCTAAAAGTTTTACAGTTTTAGGTTTTACATCCATTTTGAATTAATATTTGTATGTTGTGTAGATTCAAGTTACTCTTTTTCCTATATGGATAACTAATTGTTCCAGTACCATTTCTTGAAAATCTTTTTTCCACTGCATTACCTTTGTGCATTTATGAGAAGTCAGTTGAACTTATGTGGTCAACCATGTGGGTTTATTTCTGGACTCTGTATTCTGTTTCATAGGTCAATGTGTCTAACTTTATATCAATACCAAAATGTTGTGATTATTCTATAATTTTCATAATTCTTGAAGACAATAGTATTGACCATTCATATCTGGCCTTTTTTGAGTGTTTTTGGCTAGTCTAAGTCCTTTGCATTTCCATATGAATTTTATGATCAGCTTGTCAATTTGTACAATAAAAGCCTGATGGGATTTTTACTGAGATTGTATTGAATCCATAGATCAATTCAGTGAAAAATGATATCTTAGCAATACTGAGTCTTCCAACTCATGAACAATGTATATCTCTAATTATTTGTGTCTTTGTTAATTTACCTCATGATATTATGTGGTTTTCATTATCCAGGCTTTTTTTCTTCTGCCAGATTCATCCCTAGATAATTTATATTTTTCTATACTGTTATAAATGGTATTATTATTTTAATTAAATTTCTGATTGTTTGTTGCTAGTATGTGGACTTGTAGCTGATTTTTGTATACTGATCTTGTGTCCTAAAATATTGCTAAATTCATTTATTAATTCTAGAAGAGTTTTTGTAGATCTATTGTATTTTTGATATAAACTGTATGAAATTAAGCTTGGCCTAAAGGTTTCTTCAGATACAGTGAACTATAATCTAACTTGATGTGCAAGCAGACTGTAGTTTTGTAAGAAGTAGCCTAGTCTCAGCCAATTACAGGCAGCCAACTGTTCTGTACCTCACTT